ACGCATGCCAGGCGAGCGCGCTACCGCTTGAGCCACATCCCCAGCCCCAACAAGATTATTTTTGTTAACAGACCCTGAGATTATTTCTTATTGTATATAACTCAGTTCCATTTTGGTGTGCATTTATATGGATAAAATGACTACATATGGGACAAATGTCTAGAAAGATCATAACAAATTGTTAATGTGAATATTGGGCTCAATAATTATTAAGTTGGCAGGTCCTGCTAATGATTTTGTAGGTTGCCTTGAAAGTTCTTTTGATTCAAACTGTGTTTTAACAACTTCCGAGGGTCATTGTGCAAATCTAAATGTGCTAGCATGTAGGTAGTGAAATAACAGTGTTAAGATGTTCCTCAGCATTTTTCTTCCCATTTTTTAGTAAACTAAAGTTCTTTTGTCAAGGATAAAATGTTAAGTTTTCTAGTTGTAAATATGAGAGGAAACACAACTGAAATTTTTTTTTTTTTTTTTGCGATGCTGGGGGTTGAACCCAGTGCCTTGTGCGTGCGAGGCAAACACTCTACCAACTAAGCTGTATTCCCAGCCCTTGAAACTTTTCTTTTTCATTTTAGATAACCATTTCTGATGAACCAGACACATTATATAAACGTCTGTCAATTTTAGTAAAAGGCCACGATAAGGCCGTATTGGACAGTTACGAATATTTTGCGGTGCTTGCTGCTAAAGAACTTGGTATCTCTATTAAAGTGTAAGTAAAACTTTTCCTAATCTGATCTGGTAGCTGCTGTAGTATAATAACCAGGAAACTGGTGCTGATCCCAGATCGGTCTGAGCTCATAAAATGGGGTACAAATCATGATGGGTTGTTTAGGTTTGTCATGTTATCCAAAACAGGATCATCCCTTTCTGTCTACTGAACTTTTAAATACTGGAATTAGTAAACAGGAGAATGAAAGAAATCTCACTGACATTAAGAGACCCAAGAAGTCCATGAATCTCCATGAAGCAGGGAGGTAGAGTAGGTGAACAAACACGCCTTTCAGACCCTTTAGATGTGATGATCTTTTTGTCTGATGCATCCATTGTTTCCACTCTGCCCTAAGGAACACCACATGCATGTGTAGGGAGCTTCATATGGCTTTGGAGTCACTCCAGGGTAAAGAAGAACTGCCTCCTTTGTCTTGTCCCCTGCTCCTTCTTTGTTGAACAGGACTTACTTGGGGCTATCCCAGGCTGACAAACAGAAACAGAAGGACAGACTTTCTCCCAAAACAAAATACAATTTTGTGGTTATCAACATAATCTGTTTTCCTCAAACAACACACAGCAGACATGACCACTGTATTCACCACACTGTTGTGCTCTTCACAGGTTATGCATTTGGTCAATAAGGGACTCAATAGGCATAAAAACAGAAACCATGAGTGCATGAATGTGTTCACAACTTGTTTGCAATGCTTTTTTTTGAGTCTATGGGAAAAGCTTCCCATTGTTATCTGTGGTGTTTGTTTTGGTCTGAGCTTTGTAACAGTAGTTGTTAAAGATGACAGTCTGACAAATGAAGTTAGTAAATACCTATAATTGAGTTTGAGCCTGACCTACAAAATTGTGGAATCATGATTTGGTATCAGTGACATGGGTTTTAATGTCATTTAGCTTAAGTTTATTATTTTGTCCATTAATTTCAGACACGAACCTCCAAGGAAAATAGAGCGATTTACTCTTCTCAAATCAGTGCATATTTTCAAAAAGCACAGAGTTCAGTATGAAATGAGAACACTTTACAGATGTTTAGAGGTGAGTTTATTTCACCCATTGAGGCATTTTTTAAATATCCAGAATTTAAAATAGTATGTATCATAAGTTTCCTTTAACCATGACTTCCTTTTAGCCAGCTCTACCTTTTAGTTGTAGAAGGCAAATGTCTTTTTTGGTGTTCGTGGAAGCCACATAATAGAAAAACCAAACTCCAAGCCATCCTTTATAGTAGTAAATACTCTAATGCATAAATGCAGATTATGCTAATTTTTTTCTCTCCAGTTTTTTTTTTTCTTTTTACGCCAGCTAATTTTTATATAATCAGATAGCACTGGAATAATTTTGCTCCATGCTTCAAAATCCTAGTTTTTATACAACTTATAATTATTTCCACAATCTAATGGGATTTTTCCCTGATGATGATATACAGCATTAGGTTTTTCTTTCAATTTATCATTCATTTATGTGTTCACTAGGGCTAGTATAGTTTTATTATTAAAGGAAGCTGTGAGTTCTGGAGTCAGACTGACAGTATTAAAAAGTTCAAGTTCTGGTGCTTACTAGCTGTGTGATGTGTGCATCATCTATAAAATGAAAATAATAATGAACCCAGCTCATAAAATTAGCATGAGGATTAAATGACATATTTGGGTAAAGCACTTAGAATACTTCCATCACACAATGAATGATTAATAAGTGTCATTTTAAAAAAAGCATATGTGTTTTACATGAAAGCACTGTACATTTAAGGGTACAAATATGTTAGCAAGGCAAGGTAGTACAGGCAGACTGAGGAAGGAAGGTCTTAAGTTCAAAACTAGCCCTGGCAACTTAGTGAGACCCTGTCTCAAAAAAAAAAGTGGGGGGGGGGGGGCTGTGGATGCAGCTTAGTGGTAGGGTGCTTGAATGCTTGCCTAACATGTGTGAGGCTCTGGGTTCAATCCCCAGTATGGCAAAAAAGGCTCAGTGGCAGAGCACTTGCCTAGCATGCATAAGGCACTGGGTTCGATTCTCAGCATCACATAAAAATAAACAAATAAAATAAAGGCATCGTGTCCATCTACAACTACCAAAAAGTTGTTTTTAAAAAGCTGGGGGGCATGGTACACAAATATGTTAAGAAATGGTTCCTACTCTTAAAGGAAAAAGGTCTAAGTAATCCTTTTGTTTTTCTTCTTTTGTGATATCGGGAGTCAAACCTACAGCCTCATATATGCTAGGCAAACCCTCTACCACTGAGCTATACCCCCAGCCCTAAAGAATAAAGAAAGACTCAAAAAATTTTATCTATGTCAGCAGAATCATTTTGCTGTAGAGCATAATAAAAATCATAAACTAACTTTATCTGGTAATCTAGTCTTGTTTCTTTTTGGTTTTATTTGGTGTTTTGTGGACCCCTGGCTTTTAAGGTGGCATCTGGTAAGAAGCAGACTTTAGGGCCCCATATCTAGTTCAGCCAAAGGATGTACTTTCTTTTTTTTCTTTTTTTAGTCTGTTAAAGATTCTTAGGGGAGGGCTGGGGATGTGGCTCAAGTGGTAGCGTGCTCGCCTGGCATGTGTGCGGCCCGGGTTCGATCCTCAGCACCACATACAAAGATGTTGTGTCCGCCGAAAACTAAAAAATAAATATTAAAAAATTCTCTCTCTCTCTCTCTCTTTAAAAAAAAATGGAATTATTAAATTATTTGGATTGGTCTTTATACTATTCCCTTTCATCATTAAAAAAAAAAAAAAAAGATTCTTAGGGGAAAACCAGGCTTCACTTTTACCAAAAAACAAAACAAAAAAAAACCTTAAGATTTCTGCTTTAACAGCAAAGCATGAACTGTTTTTATGTCTGATATTTTAGTTAGAGCATCTAACTGGATGCACAGCAGATGTCTACTTGGAATATATTCAGCGAAACTTACCTGAAGGAGTTGCCATGGAAATAACAAAGGTAGGACTTGAATTTCTACCTCTTTGGGGGATACCTGTGTTGTATCAGCCTGGTATATCACAGCCTGGTCTTGGCCCCTGCGGTGGAGGGGAAGACCTGTCGCACTGGAAGCTATGTGTGCACAATGGCTGGGGGTTCACCCATTCCTGTGCAATCTCAGAATCCCCCCACATCCTCACTGAGCCATCTCTGAAGTCTTCCTCCCTACTAGTTGTCTGGACTTGGTGACCACATTGTGTAGCCATCCCTGGAGATCACTGAGGATCAAATAAATTTTATATATATATATATAAAACAAAATGCCTTACATATATTAAGTTGCCTTCTCCCCATTTTAGACTCCTACAAAAAGGCAAAGGGGATTAACAAAAAAAATTAACAAATTCACTTTGTAGCAAAGATCATTTAAATAGTTTTGTTTCTGTTTTTAGACACGGTTAGAACAATTACCAGATCACATCAAGGAGCCAATCTGGAAACAAGTACCAGAGGAAAAAGAAGAAAGCAAGTCATGAAGCTTCAGGGAGCCACTTTGGACTTGAAAGAAGAGTGGGCCAGATGTGTGTGTTTGAGTGGAGAGTGCTTGCAGCTGAGGCAGTCTGGAGTCCTCCTCACTGCTCTGTTGAGTCCTCTTGCCCAGTTCAGTTGAAAACAGGGAATGGAAACTTAATGACAGGCTGAAATGGAGTAAAAGACATTTTGTTCTTTTTTATCCATGTCATTGTTTCCGTTCCAGTTTTAAAAACTTGAGCAGCTAGCCATGGTGGTGCACATTTATAATCCCAGCTGCTTGGGAGGCTGAAGCAGAAGCAAGTTCAAAGCCAGCCACAACAACTCAGTGAAAGCCTATCTCAAAATAAGAAAAGAGCTAGAAATGTGATTCGGTTAGAGATTCCCCTGGGTTCTATCCCCAGTACCACAAAAAATAAAAAGTACAAGCGAACTACTTGGATACTCTGGGCCAAGAGTCAAATTTTATATTTTGTTCTGCTATTGTTCTATTATTAGTTTCTACTGATTTTAATTTATAGTATTTCACATATTGGAAAATGAGTGGTTTTTTTCACACACTTTTTTAATTTTAAATTTCCTTAAAAGAGAACCTTTGGTTAATTTAACACTGAGCAGTTAAAGATTTTAATCTTTACCTTCGTGCAGGCTAGCATATGCTGCCTTGGCGGTGATGACCAACAGATTGACCTTATTTAAACATTACATTTTTGAATGTGGATATACCTGCAGTAGATGAAGCACATTTATGACACCCACTAAACTCTCATAACCCAAACACCTACAGGGTTGCTTCCAAGGTTCATACAGTGGAGTTTATGCTCTCAAGATATTACTATGTGTGTCATTTCATTCATCCTGTGATTCATTCAGTAAGCTTTTATTTTGCACTCACTACTGTAGTAATTACCAGTAATTGAATAGAATTAATGTCTTTTAAACATTGAAGGCCCAGATAAATATTTTTCCTTAATTTCGTCCCCAGTAGGAAGCCCTTTTGGTAGCTTTCATTTGCTTTATTTGGAGATGTCTACTTTTCCATGAAATTAAAACCCTGAAAGATGCAAGAGTACAATGGACTGAACAGTTGGTATGGCAACCTCAGGAGGGTGCTTTGTTTCTTTTTTACAGCAGAATCAGGTCTGTGTCTGTGGTTTCTTTCACATCTTTGGGGTAATTATGACTTCTCAGTTTTTTTCCCTTTAAACTGATCTGCTATCAGGTATCAGTGTTTTGAATACATCCTACTTATGTGTCAGACTTACTTTATTGTGATTAACATGAAAAGAACTATAGCCTGTGCCCCATGACCTCCTTAGCTCAGTTATTGACTGTCATTCACAAATGTGTAAAGCATACTCATCCCAGTTATAAGCCTCAGAATTAACTAGTCAATCAGACAGAAGCAATATGATAATGACTGCATCTAGCAAAGCAGCAATTTGTGACACACTTTTATTTTAAAAGGCAGGTCTTTAAAAATAAGTATAGGTCCACATGTAAGTTTTTTTTTTTTTTTTGGCATGTATACACATATACACACTCACATATGCAATGTAAGTCACTTATAATTGTGCTCACCTCCAACAATGACTCTATGAGAAAGGACTCCTTCAAAGGCTATGTCCATTTCTAGATGTTTTCATACTAATTATGCTGTAAACCAGGTTGCTTATCCTAGCACTTCAACTTTTATGTTAAATCCTTATTTTAAGGTAAATATTCAATTAACTACAGATGTAGCAGAAATTAGCAATATTTCTTTTGTAACAAAGTATTTGGCATATTCAAAATCTCTTTGGTATAAACAAGATATTTCTTATCCTGATAGGCTGAAGAAGAGTTTGGGGGGGGGGGGGATGTTTGTTTTAAATTTGGTCCTGAGTAAAATGCATATTCTGAAAATTAGAAGCAATACCCAGGTCTCACTTTCCATGGTTTCATGAGATGGATGAGGTGGATCTGATGGTAGAATACCAGAAGGCAGGTAGAAAGTAAGATTTATTTTTCATTAAGGTGTAGCCCTAAGTTCATTATTGCTTTCTCTCATGTAAAGCATGTTTCTTCATATCAAATATAATTATTTTCTGCTCTGTTCAAAGTTACAGATATAACTATTAAACAAAAGTAGTTCAGTGCCAAGTTTCAGGTTTTTTCAAAGATAAATATATAAAACAGTTATTTTAAAACCACTAGTCCCCTAACCTTTCTACTTGCCAACAAGCATTCCTTTCCTGCTTTAAATTAAATTTATTTCACTATTATTGAGTAGCAGAGTAGAGAAAATGTGGACTTTGGAGTCAAACAGGCCTATCAGATAAAGAGTTCAGACTCACAAACTTCTGTAAGCTCAGGCAAGGTATTTAACCCTGTCAGAGCCTCAATTTACTAATTAGTAAAATGTGAGAACTAGTACCTACTTATCAAGATTGGAGTATTAAATCAGATAACTGATAATGCATGTTGTGCAGTGCTGGGCAGATAATAGACATTGTATAAATAATCATTGTTACTAGATGCAGCACTGCTGTGATGATGCCTTAGATGTTCGTGTGCTGCATTGTTGAAGAACCAGCTGGAAAGGCCCTTGGATTGTCACCCAGGAAGGGACAGTACTTACCTGAGAGTATGGCTGTGAAGTTTAGATGGAAACCATCACATGCTTATTATAGACACCATATATCATGCTAAACTTCATGTGGGTATTCATTTACTATCTGATAACTCATTAGCAACCCAATAAAGTCATTCCTATTATTATCTTCCTTTACAGGAGGTTAAAAAAAAAAAAAAAAAAAACAACCTTGGAGAGTTCTGACTTGCCCACTCAGTTGCCCTTTCAGTGGAAGGATAAAACAGGCCAAAAAAATTGGTGAAATTAATTTAAGCTCAGGTTAGTCACAGGGACAACCCTAGAGTCTACTTAAAGGGGCTTTGAGAAACTTAAATGTCAATGTGTTAAATGCAGGATATTTTGTGCAGGGGTTGGGAGTACCTGGGATTGAACCCAAGAGTGCTTAACCCCTGAGCCACATCCCCAACTTAGTTGCTGAGGCTGAATTTGAACTTGCAATCCTCCTGCCTTAGCTTCCCCAGCCACTATGAATGCAGAGTACTAAAACCTAAATCCCAAGTTTGATTCCTTTTCACATTAGCAAACTATACTCATTTCCTCTAAGCTTAGAAGTAAAGAGACTGACTAGGGGAAAGAACTAAGGGATAAAAGTTAAATGTGCAAAAAGGCAAGAAGCAGAATACACAGTTTGTCCCCTGCTGCTGGCACAGGGCCTGAATGTGAAGGGGCAGCATGAGAGTTTGGGCTTCAGCAAGGCAGGTCCTACTGGGCCCCCAGGACAGTGGCATGGAGGTGGCTGACATTAGGGCTTAGGGCCAGGCCTGACTGGGGCTCAGTAGACAGTGGTCTGTGGTTTTGAAATACACCTTTGTTCCTGCACCAGGCTTATGGCTGACTGCCTGCAATCCCCAGGGTTCTTTGCAAATCCCTTTCTCAATTCCTAACCCTGCCCTCCTTAAATCCTTACTATTGTTATTCTCTTCAAGCTATCAGTTCTCTTTGTGGATTTTTAATCCTCTTTAAAAATGATATATTTATACTTCAGTAGCTCAGCAGTATTTTTAGGGTAAGTCATGGGCAACTGACCCACATAAAAAGCCAATCAAAATTTAGATTCCTCAGCCAAAGTCTATGAGGTAGTTCATTCGCAAAATTTATTGAATAGAAGTACTGTCTTTTTTTTTAAGTCACAGATGTTTTATTACAGTAACAACAGTCTAAGACATCAATATATAAGAAATAATCAATATAATCAAGAATAATATGTTTTAGTCAGCTTTTCATTCCTGTGACTGGTACTGTCCTTTAATTTCTCCACAGTGTGGCTTAAATGTCAATAAACACCAAGAGATGGACAGAGCTCATGCCACCCTCACATGAAGCCAGTTGAGATGCTGGCCATAGAAAGCTACAGCTGCCAGTGGCCATGGTGATTGTAGATGTGTTGAGATGAGAAAGTTTGAAAACAACTGGGGAGATTATTTGTCAAAGCCTCTTCCAGTTCAAAAATCCCACTATTTTTTATTTTTAAGTACCTGATTATGAGGCTTGCTTTTTTTGCTTTTCTTTCTTTAGAATTGGGAATTGAACATTGAACCAAGGGACGTTTAATCACTCATCCCGGTCCTTTTTTTTGAGACAGGGTCTTGCTATGTCGTTTATAGCCTCGCTAAGTTGCTGATTCTGGCCTTAAACTTGAGATCCTGCTGCCTCGGTCTCCCAAATTGCTGAGATTACAGGCGTGTGCTCTATCCCCATGCCCCTTATCTGGGCTCAGAGGAATCCAGGAGTTGAGCTGTGAAAGGAAGGAGTGACATCTCCTATGAATTCAGCACTGACCCTGCCACTTTGCTCAGATACTCAAAAAGGACTTGAGTTCCTTATATGTGTCAAGCACTCTTCTAAACCTGAGGGTTCAGTAGTGCACATAGTGAAGTTCCTTTCCTCATAGAGAATAGGCTGTAGTGGGGAATATAGAGAATAAGTCAGGAGGGAAGTTTCCAGAAGCAGTAAGAACTATGTAGAAAATAAAATAGGATAATGTCAGAATTTCTTGAATGGCCCCTTGGGGGAGTGCGTTCTCTGAGGAGGGGAGAATCCTGGGAAGGAAGCAATTCTGAAGATGTGGGCAAAGAGCAACTCAAGCAGGAGGGACATTAAATTCTAAGACTCTGATCCTAGAATGAGCTTGTGAATGAATGAATCCTGACATCCCACAGGCCTCTAAGCTCTGGGGATGGTTTGACTCACAAGTGTGTTTGCACTATTTGAAGATGGAAGTAGGATGGATTGTCACATAAGGAGTGCGTCACTGGTGGGAAGGAGTGTGGAATTTATCCTCAATGTAAATGGGGAGCTATAGGAGGGTTTAGAGCAGGAGAGCAACAGGATCTGATTTAGGTTTTAGAATATGCTGCTCTTGCTGCTGGGTAAAAGACAAGAGTGCCCAAAGCAGGCTGGGACGCTCATTAGGGATCTGTGGCAGTGGGCCAGGTGAGTGGGCCTGGACTAGAATTGGAAACATCGCTGATGAGGAGCGATGAGACTCAGTATATACAGTTTGCAGGTAGAACTGACAGAATGACATGCTAATAGAGTGAAATGAGTTCTGAGGGACAGAGATGATTCCTAGTGAGCGCCTAAGCAGTTAATCAAATGTAATGACTGAGGAAGAGTTGGGGGAATTGATGGGAAACAAGTTTGATTTGCTAAATTTGCAATCTGGATATTGGCATCTAGTATGCCTTTGGATGCAAGCACCTGGGGTTATGGAGCAAGGTTCAGGATGGAGATAAAAAATTTGGAAGCTCTCAGACTGTAACTGGTCTGTACTGTCAAGGGAATGAGTGAGATCAGGGGAGAGAGCAGGAAGGCAGGAGTATTGAGGACAAGCCTGGCAACCCCAGAGTATTCAGAGGCTGGTGAAGGAGCAGCGGGGCTGGCAGAGTAAATGAACAGCTGGTGGAGCCAGAGAGAACTCAGAGGAGTGTAGGGCCTTGAAACCCAGAACATTTGGAAAAAGAATGTGGTTTGGTGAAGTAGGATGAATCTGGCAGGTTAAGTAAGAAAAGTAGGTTCCTGGAGACCTTTAAAAACTTTTCTGTGGACCAACAGGGGTGAACGCTCAGCTGGAGCAAGCTGAGGAGTGAATAAGGGATAAAGAAGAGGATGCAGAATCCGACCTATAGTGAAGCAGGAGAGCCAAGGAGGGCCAGCACCGGTGGAAGTTAGTGCTGTGGACATGGTTGGCCGCTTAAGCAAGAGGGCCACTGCAACAGGGAGATGCATCTATAAAGCCCATCTGCCAGTTCATCAACATCTGTCCCATTACAACAGAAAATAGTCCACCCTGTTATCAACTGCTTGTGTGTGATGGATTGAATCCTCTTGTTAAGGAAGAAGGGTTGTCCAACAATTGTATTTGCCAGATTCATCAATTTATTGCTAACACTCTGAAAGATGGAAGGAGAGTAGTTATTTTGATGGACT